GGCCACTCCCAGTCACCGCAGCCTCGACCTGCTGGGCTCCGGCGATCCTTCCGCCTCAGCCTTCTGAGTAACCGGAATTACAGGCATGCGCTACCACACCCAGCTAATTTTTTGATTTATTGTAGAGATGAGGTCTCGCCAAGTTGCCCAGGCGGGTCTCGAACCCGCAGGCTCAGGCAATCCACTCACCTCGGCCTCCCAAAGGCACGGGATTACAGGCTGAGCGACCGAGCCCAGTTTACACTTAATATTTTTAAGAGTTATTTGCAAATTCATCTACATATTTATATTCCCAGTCAAAATTCAACTAGTTTTTTTTTGGTAGAAATTTATAGCTGATTCTAAAATGTATATAGAAATTCAAAGGACCTAGAATAGCAAAAAAAAAAAAAAGCAAACTTAATGCCTGGTGGTTCACCCCTGTAATCCCAGTTACTCAGGAGGCTAAGGTAGGAGGATTGCTTGAACCCAGGAGTTTGAGGCTGCAGTGAACTGTCATTGCACCACTGTACTCCAACACGGGTGACAGAGGAAAATCTTGTCTCTTAAAAATTTTTTTAAAAAAGAAAAACATAGTTGTATAACATATAGAATCTGTGGAGGACAGATTCTAAGATGACCTCATGATCCTCACCTCCTGGTACTTAATTAAGCCTTTGTATAATCCACCCCCCTTTAGTGTGGATGAGACCTCTGATTTGCTTCTAACAATAAAATACAGCAAAGGTGATGGGATGCCACATCTGTGATTACATTAAGTTATAAAAGACTCTGTCTTGCTAGCAGACTCCTTCTGTAGTCTCTTCCTCTCCCTCCTTTCTGGTTATGCTGGGGAAGCCCACGTAGTAAGGAATTCTGAGGGGCCTCTAGGGACTAAGGATGTCCTACAGTTGCCAATCAACAAAAAAACTGAAACTCTCAGTTATACAGTTACAGCCAACTGAATACCAACAACCATGTGAGCTGGAAAGTGGATTCTTTTTCATCTGAGTCTCCAGAAAAGAACCTATCCCTCTCGTGAAAAGAACCTATCCCTCGCGTGCATGCAACTTGACTGCAGCATGAGATGCTATGCAAATAATCTAGCGAAGTCAACCTGGACTTTTGACACACACAGACTATAAGACAATAAAGAAATAAATATGTGTTATTTTAAGCCTCTAAATTTGTGGTAATTTGTTATGCAGCAATAGATAACAAATACATTACCTGATCTCAAGACTTATTATACAGCTACAGTAATCAAGACAGTATAGTATTTTTCATAGAGATAGATAGATATATGGAACAGAATAGAGCCCAGAAATAGGCCCAAATATACATGGCCAATTGATTTTCAACATAATCACAAGTGCTGGAGCACTTTAATGAAGTCAATCTTTTCAACAAATGATGCTGGAGCAATTGGATAGCCATGTGAAAATGAAAGTGAACCTTGGGATTGGCAGTAGGGGACACTGCCAAGGGAGGGATGAGGGAGGGCACACAACATCAGTAAGGGTACCTGATCTCAAACCAGGCAAAGTGGGGACCAATGGAGGCCCAAACTTTACCTGTACTGTGACCACTTATCTACCTAATCCTGAATTGTACCCCACATCTTTAAAATAAAAACTAAAAAAATTTTTTAAAAAGAAAGTGAATCTTGACCCTTACTTCTAACCATATATGAAAATTCGTTTAAAATGAAACAGAGATCTAAATGTAAGAGCTAAAATCATAAAACTTCTAAAAGAAAACATGGAAGAAAGTCAGTGACCATGGGTTTAGCATAGATTTTCAAAACATAACACAAAAACATCAACTTATATTTGATGAAAAAATCAATAAATTGCATTTTGTCAAAATTGAATTTTTTTTTTTTTTTTTTTGAGTTGGAGTCTCACTCTGTCGCCCAGGCTGGAGCGCAGTGGCCAGTGTACCGCCACCCTAGCGCCGACTTCCAGGGCTCCGGCGATCCTTCCACCTCAGCCTTCCAAGTAGGCGGAACTACAGGCACGTGCTACCACGCCTGGCTAGTTTTTTGATTTATCGCAGCGATGAGGTCTCGCCAGGTTGTCCGGGCTAGTCTTGAACCTGCGGGCTCTGGCAGTCTACTCACATCGGCCTTCCGAAGTGAAAATTAAATTTTTACACTTCAAAAGATCTGTTATGAAAATGAGGAGGTAAGTTATCACCTGCAATAAAATATTTGCAAAATATGTCTGACAAAGGACTTGGGTCTAGAATATATAAAGAATTTTTACAACTTAGCAAAACAACCCAATTTTTAAAATGGGTTAAAGATTTGAACAGACACTTCTTAAAAAAATATAACAATGGCAAATAAGCACTTGAAAAGATGGCCAACATAATTTGTTAAGAAAATGTAAATTAGAACCACAAGGAGATACCACTATACTCCCCCTGGAAGGACTAAAAAAGATTGCGCATACCAAGTGTTGGGGAGCATGTGAAACAATTCCGGAATTTTCAAACGGGTCTGGCGAGAATGTAAAATGATGCAATCACTTAGAAAAACAGTTTGTCTGCATCTTAAATAGCTCTTAAGTTCTTCTTTCAAAGTTTGCACCAAAACCCAAAACAGAACAACAAAGTTATGAACCTGTCATTAGACCCAGGCATTTCACTCCAAG